AATGACGCACTATGGTTAGCGTGCCCCTGAATTAAGTGAAATCTTCTCAAATTTATTAAATTTTTCGTAATATTAAGGAAAAAAACAGTAACTCTAAAAAAAGGAAACCGGTTTCTTGTTTCAAGGAAATGCTTTTTCCTGAGTGCGCTACCGCTCGGAGTGATCTTAAAAAATATAACTCCTCAAAGCGAGAGAGTACTTCGATGGCTTTACGAGCTTTGTTTTTTTAAAACTTGCAAGTGTGCAATCACATTATTTTTATAAATAGAACACAATAAAATATTTTATTTTTATTTTTACCACTCAGAGTTTTGGAACTCACCCGCGATGCAAATTTACATCGTTAGATCTAATCTTCACATTTGTTTGACGAGCTTTTGGGAACCTCTGCCTTAGGATAATATAAAGCAGGGGTGGCAAGGCCGAGGCCGCAAAGAGCCACATGTAAATTCTAAATGCTACAAAGAGCCACAAAAAACAACAGAAGCAAACATTTTATTTTTAAATAAACTGGTTTACAGCAAAAATGATCAATGGATGCCACTATGCAATTCCTACGTAGAATCGCCCGCTGATTCCGAAAGTTGGGTTATTTTTTTATTCTATGCATATTTCCACTTAATCACGTATATCTTACGAAACCAATCTAGCAATCGTAATGCGAAGTACGGCAAATGAAATCCAATTAAATTTTCCATAAACCGTATATACACCACTTTCGATAGGCCTAACATATTAGTAAATCACTCCAGATTTTTTTTTTCTTTTTTTGTGAAAAAATTGAAACAAGTTCAAACTTTAACAGGGGAAAAATAAAAAACAACGAGTTTTTGTAATTTTTTTATTTTGTGTTAATGACCGTTCCTTTGCAAAAAAAATGGAGATACCAGTGAAGAAAATCGATGGATAAATAAGAAATAAATGAATGGTAAAATGAAAAAGCGCAAGGATTTTTTGTATGAAATATTAACAGAAAAGAAAGTTACTCAGGAGTACATAGCGTGTGAGTGACATTCTTTCGATTAACCGATTTCGATAATTCTTTTTCTGGTGCCTCAGGGGAGGTCCCATACTAATTGGGTTTAGATCCGATCATTGGATCATGAAGAAATTAACGGTGCTTCTAAACTTTTATATGAGAATTGAAGTCGGCTGTGTTTTTGGCTTAAAAATTACTTGACTGCAGTGACAACCAAGCTGCACTTAAGGCATTGGACAGCCCTCTATTTAAGTATTTCCAAACTATGTAGTTCGGCAATGCAAGTCTCGACTAAAATATGATGGTGAACATAACGAGGTTGTTTTACTCTGGGTGCCAGGTCACTCAGGAGTACCTGATTAGGAGACATCTGATCATTTGACCCACAGTTGGCTCAGACCAGGCACTTCTCGGTCCGCAACCAGTTTTAGCACGTCCCACCTGCGGCAATCGAAGCCACCATCAGAAACTGGGTGAATACTTCGCTCAGCAAAGACTGGGAGGCATCGAGGGGATGCAGGTGGCCAAAACTTCATCTTGCCATCTCAATCTATTTCTCACTACAGACGACACTGCAGGCACTTGCTGGACTGCTGACTGGTACTTCACGTGGCACAAACACCTGACTGTGATAGGCGTAAATGACAAGTCCATTTGCCCATCTTGCCTTGAAGAAGATAGACGGTGGAACACTTTTTGTGCTTCTTGCTTGCTTGGTTATTTGTCATAGATTTTTTTGAACTCGTTCTTTTCTCTATTGTCAGTTTCTGAATTAAAAGTTTGGCTAAAAAGCTTAGTCGTTTTGATGTTTTAAGTTTTGTGTTTTAAAAATGTGATAAATATTTTTCGCCTCACTTTAAAACTCGGAGTGGTTTTACATATACTCCACGTGCAAAGTCATGAGTGAGCCGAACATTTGTGTAGATGTAGATGTATTTACGAGCTCTATTTTTATAAGTGTATAATTAGTATTATTATAATTATAATTATTTTTATAAACAGAACACAAGAAAATATTGTACTTATATTTGGCATTGTTTAGTTTAATTCACCATGATTACATTGACATTTACTTTAATTTACGCTGGAATAAGAAAGCGCAGGGGGTCGACCTAAACCAGTAAATTTTTGAAAGGGGTCTACGAGAAAAAAAGTTTGCAAACCTCTGATATATACTGAAAGTGAACACGTAACTTATTGAAAAAAAAATACACGGCGTTAATTTCAGTGTGGAAGCACGAGATCCTTTTTGCAAAAATTTTTGGTGCAAAGCGTAGTGTATGTTGTGCTTTGTAATTATTAAACGAATGACGAAATATTACTGGCAACGCCATTGTGTAACTTTCCACCAAAACTTTTTGGAAAATTTCAAAGGGGATAGAATTCAATGTGTGGGAGCAACACATCGCGTAAAGTTGATAGGATTGCAGGCATTTTTATAACGTCAGATTGCAGAAAAAAAATCGGGACTATGAGGGAAATGTCAACAAATATCCGACAAACTTCGCGAAAAAAATAAAATAAAATTATAAATTAAGGTTGGTGAAACTTGCATTAAGGGGCTCTCCTTAAATTTTATTGCATATTGCTTCAATGGTGCTATCATTTATTAACGCTTTAAAGTGGGACTCTTATAAGCGAGGAGTATCCCAAGGATACGAATGAAAAAGTAAACATTTAGCTTGAAATATGATGTAAATAGGTGCAAGGATTCCTACCACTGAATTTTGGAACTTTTCAGCCACTAGGTCGCTATCATTTCTTAACGAACTGTATTATTCCACATATATGTAAATACTCTAATTGTTAACAATTTTCATTCTCTAATCGTAAAATAAAAATAAACTTGTATCTTTAGCTTTATTTAAATTACAAAAAAAGTCCTAGTGTACACATAAGTTTTGTAGATATATTGTGATTTCACTTCAACATAAAAATTTTGTGCACCCCTGATTTACATAAACAATAGTCTTCGAGTGTTTTATGATTTTTTAGTGATGATTTAATTTTTGTTTTTTCTACAAAACCTCTGTGTACGCTAAGCATACTTAAACCTAAATTCAAGTACAAACTAAGAGAAAATCTTAAAAGATAAAATTATTTTACCTTTTTTAAGTAAATGACAAAATGAAGCTGAAAAGGACGTTCACAGTTGATAAAATTATCGAGGAACAACCAATAGTTTACCAAAACTACCGAAATTGATGTGAAGACACCCAAAGCTTTAATTTATTGCAAACATTTTTTAAATTTGAAATTGATTATGAATTTATAGAAAGAAACTTACAATGAAACTTTGGAATTTAGGCCGTACCTGCGTACGTCCATGGGTCCAATTTATCCTCTTTGAAATGTGCTATGGAAAATTATGAAATATAATTTTTTTTTGATATCATGTATAAAAAGACGTAGTTTAGTTTTAAAACTTTAAATAATTTTCGACAAATCAAAAACATTCAACTTTTGCAAATGCTCCATCATATCGGTAAAGAACATTAAGTCAAAACGCCAATTTTCATTCTCCAATTGCGGGTAATGTTCCGATCTCAATTTGAGTATCTGTATATAAAAAGAATAATATAAAAAAACAACACAATGGAAAAGAATGTCCAACAAAGAAATATGTATTTTAAAAATAATAATAATAAAATTGATTTGTTGAATTGGTACACTGTTACCATTTTTGTATATTCTGCTTTTACAATTTTCTAATTACTTTCATACTATATTTGGCCTCCAGTTCCTGTACTTCTTTGAGCTACGAAATATTTAGTTGGTCACATTAC